TTCCGAGAATCCATGTGTCCACTCCGTATAGCAATATGGAATAAATAAACGTTTTTACGAATAAATACGTAGAGTTTATTAGGAATTTTTTCATTCGTTGAAATGCGGACCTAGCATATTCTATACGAGCACGTATTTCGACCTCGTGGTCATGATCGTTTGTTATCCAGCAACCAAGATACTGGAATCTTTTGTACTGGTTCTATATATTTGTTATAAATACGAATATTAATAGCGACAGTTGGTGCAAGTGTAACAGCCATTACTTTTGTTTTATTTGAGTTTATGTTTAGTCCCAAGCTATCTCCCTCTCTGGTTATGACATTCAAAAGTCGTTGTAAACCCTCAGCACTGTCCACAATAATGACGGTGTCGTCTGCGTATCTTAAGTTGTTTACGTATTCTTCGTTGATTTTTATTCGTTCTTCAATATTTTCGAGGGCATTTTGAAAGACCTTTTCGGAATATATATTAGATAATAGTGGAGAAAGTACACAGCCCTGACGAATTCTTTTTTTTATTGGCAATTCTGCTGTCAGACGATTGTCTATTTTGATCGACGCTATTTGATCCCAATATAGTTTTTTAAATATACTACAGTGTTATGGTCTATACCATGTTGTGTTAAGGTTTCTATGAGTTCTGTATGTCTTATTCTATCAAACGCTTTTTTAAATTACACAAAAGTAAATATGAATCAGTTTAAGAGTTCTTTAAATTTTTAAAGTTTTCATTTCCATCCAAAGCAGAATATTTATAACCTATTAAAAAGGAACAAATATTATCAATACGTTTTTACAAACACACTCAAAGAAACATCGAAGCAGGATGCATCGGCAGGTATTCATGTCAAATAAATATATTTTCCATCATCTAAAAATACGTGGCAATTTATAAAGTCGTTTTCTGTAAAATGGATAGGAAATGTCTCAATCATTCCGCCCGAAGTTGCAAGCGTAACCTAATTTAAAAATTGAAATTACTTCCCACGTTGGATCTCGCACAACTGCAAGGAATATCGAAAATATTGTAGAAAGTTGACAAAACTAAAACATTTATTACGGAGATCTAGCATTAAAACTGATTGGCAATAGATAATTATTTAAATCTTAAATTTTTAAAAATTAATAGATTGGAATTGTTAAATTATAATTGAATGTCCGCCCCGAATAAAATTGTAACCCTCAATAAATGTAAATCGGTGTTATTAGCGGAATAAGGTTGTAATCATCATTTTTGTTATACTGGAATACAATTGGTCGCAGAAAATCACCTAATTTTATGTTTATGAGAGCATTCAAGTCAAGCCGAGGCGAATAAGGTTGTAACATCATTAGAAATATTAGACATGGCTGATGAAGTATGTGTTAATGTGAGTGTGGCCACAGAAAAACAATTAAATAAGTCTCAAAAAGAAAAATTAGGCTTATTGAGTGGAAGGTCAATAAACGAAACACCCAACAAGACCCTGGGAAGCAATATGTTTCCAGAAAAGGTACTGTTGTGCCTGAAAAAGTACCTCTAGTAAACATAAGTACAGAAATTGACAGTTACAGCGAATAATTACCGTGGAGACAATGGAGAATGAAAAGTGCCCAGAGTGTACCTATTATTCTATCTACTACTGGTGTTATTCCCAAAAATCTCCTACCGAACATAAAATAGCTGTGTCTAAATGAACATCTTTATAAGGCCATGCAGAAAGCTGCAGTTCTTGCGACGTCCAGATATGTATAATTTTTGGAAGATACCCCAGCATACCAACTCACCCAGGGCTCGATAACACGGAAAGAGTCCCACCAGAGCTTAATTATTTTGATACAGTAGGTATTTGTGATGAGTGAATTTTCCCTTAGACGAAGTGTGAGCCGTATTGCTAAATATGGATAAAATATGAAATGTGTTGATAAATCAACTAATTCTTTAACTGTTCCAATTTAACCTAACGCCGCCTCTGTTCCTAAATATCACATGTTAGCCGTTATTAGTAAAAAGAACCAGACATTGACGCTCTCATAAATTTTAGAACATTTCTATATGTAAATGAAATGAGGTTGAATGCTCGAATAAATGAACTTTGAAAATAAGGCTATTATCGAGCACAGGTTAATTAAATCAAGCCCAAGTACTTTCGCTTAAAATAGCATCTTCAGGGGCATCTGAAATAAGCCAAGAAAACGTTTTTTAGATGAAGTAAATTAGTTAACTTCGATAAAAAACTCGAAGTTAATGGATGAAAAAAAAAAGTTTTTGAGATTAACGTTTTAGACTTACTTCGTCAAAATAAGAACTATCCGGCAAGCGTTAGGATGTGGAAACATTAAAACTAACATAAATTATACAAAACACTACACTAAAACGAGGACAAACAGTTTTAAAATTACTTCTACGCTACATTCTCTGTCAGTTTCTGGAGGGAATAATGATCTTAGTGGAAATGATACGGTGACATATGACATATGACAACTTTGATAGGCAGTCAAAGTTATGGATCTGTGATCAGCAAATATTGAAATTCTGTATAAGTTGTCATTGGCCAAAGGTCCAACTAGAACTACTACTGAAAAATCAGCTGATGACGTGTGACATGTAGAATATTTTGATTTAAACTAGATTGCATAATCCAGATCTCACACTCACACCCGTCTGTATTAATAAGGTTGTAGGTTTGAGGCTAAATGAAGTGTACATAAAGTGTGAATGAAAGAAATAGACTAAACGATCTATTGGACAGTGGGCAGTTGACTACAATAAAATGGTCTACCTTACACTGTCAATATTGCAAAATGAGAAGAAAATTGACTATAAAATTGAAATATTAAAATTAGATCAGAATTGAAAGCAGTGTGTAAATGGGTATAGTATAATTTCTATATGTTTTTACCTCTGATTTCAAGCACATGTACAGGCAAATCCTCATAAACCCCACTCAAAGGTATCCCCTAAACATTCTCTGGCGAAACTCCCCTCAAGATGAGTTGCAATGCATCCAGTTAAATACTGTAACATATATTACTAAGTGTGGCAACTTTCTTAACTGTAGATGTCTAGTTGAGTTAGCTCGCACTCATCAAGAATCATATCCTCTTGGTAGTGATGCTATTCTCAATGCATGCTATATAGATGACATGTTGTATGGTGCTGATGACTCAACAAATCTCCTAAAAGCTTGGTTAAAATCACCTCCTTCACGTTGGACTCCCTTTGTTGCCAATAGAGTGGCAACAATACAACAAAACTTAGAAATTATCTGGAGGTATGTTAAATCCAAGGAAAATCCTGCAGATATTCTGTCTCGAGGTATATCACCATTAGAACTTCCGAACAGTACACTCTGATTTAATGGTTCACATTTTCTGTCTCAAATTGATTTAAATCTCACCCTTTTTAACTCAAAAAACAAAATTAATGACGTTCCAGAGGAAAGAAAATCTCAGATTGTCCATCATGTTCAAGTCTCTCCTCGTTTCTAGATGAACTCATTCGACCATTCTCTTCAGTTACAAATCTACAAAGAGTGATTGCTTATTGCTTAAGATTTGCTCATAATACAAGAAAACCATCAGAAAAATTCTTCAACAATCTTTCTGTAAGTGAACTCAAATCGGCTGAACTCATAATTGTCAAACTCATACAAGATGACTCGTTTTCACAAGAAATTTCCCTTCTCAAAACTAAAAGGCCGATTACAAATAAATCCCTTTTGTCCATGAACCCCTTTCTGGATGAACATGAAATGCTGAGAGTTGGTGGAAGGTTAAAATATGCCTCTGTACCATTTAATCAAAAGTATCCTCTTCTCTTGCCTTCTAGGAATCCGCTAATGAAACTTATGCTAAGGAGGGAGCATATTAGATTGTGTCATGCTGGTCCACAATGTACACTCTTCAACTTCAGACTAAAATATTGGCCTCTTGATGCTCTGCGGGAGATCAAAAGAATTGTTGAAAGTTGTAAAATATGCTTCCGTTTTAAGTATTCCGCAAACAGTATCTCAGCTGATGGCAGACTTGCCAAGAGAACATCTAGTGTGTTCGCAAGCATTTACAAATATTGGTACAGACCTAGGTGGACCATACAATCTCAAAACTTCTAAACTTCGTAAGGCTCGTATAACCAAATGTTATATTGTTGTGTTTATCTGTATGGTCACTCGAGCATGCCATCTGGAACTTGTCTCCAATCTAACCACAGAATCATTTCTGCTCACCCTCAAGCATTTTATCAGTAGACGTGGCAATCCCTCTGTCATATTTTCTGATAATGCAACCAACTTTCTTGTCTCCAAAAATCAATTGAGAGAATTTGCGCAATTCGTGAGGAAACAAGACACTCAAAATTCAATAAAGGATTTTCTCTTCTGAGATTACATGGAAATTCATACGTCCCCACTCTCCACATCATGGTGGGATCTGGGAAAGTGCAATAAAAAGTGCAAAGTACCATCTCCACAGGTTTATTGGCAACCTAACACTTACGTTTGAGAATTCTCCACTGTATTAGCCCAGATAGAGGCTGTTCTCAATTCTCGCCCCCTCTGTGCCATGTCCAATCAGCCTGGGGATATCTCTGTACTCACCCCTGGTCACTTTTTAATAGGCAAACCACTCACCTCTTTCCCAGAGTCCGATTTAAGTGAAATTTCCTCCTCTAGACTAAATCTCTGAGAAAATTGCAAACAAATCCAACAACTTTTCTGGAAAAGATGGAGCACAGATTACGTGAATAGGTTGCAAAACCGTCCCAAGTGACTCACCTCAAACAAAGATATTAAAGTAAATGATCTTGTCTTGTTGAAGGAAGATAATACACCTCACTTATATTGGCCGCTTGCCAGAGTGATTGAGGTCTTCCATGGCAGTAATGGCAAGGTTCGTGTTGTTAATATCGAAACAAGGGTAGAACTTTCACGCGTCCCATCAAAAAATTGTGTCCATTGCCAGAAGAGTATTATGTGTAAATATAAGGTAAATGTTACATTGCATTGTAAAGTGTGTTGATTAGCTACTAAGTGTAATATTTTTTAGGGAATAAGTTAACTCACCCATGCATTCTATGTTTAGTTGATAGTTTATTTTTAAGTGTTCTCTAGAATTAGGTCTAGAGTAGAATTCATCTTCTGTTAATCTAGTAACTTTGCTCTTGTTGTTGTCTCTTGTTGTTTTCTCCTGTTATGTCGTTAACTATTTTATTATTTGAAGCAATGCTTCAAGGCCCGGGAGTATGTTGGAAAACCAACTAACTGTTTAACTGTTACAATGTAACCTAACGCCGCCTCTGTTCCTGAATATCACATGTTAGCCGTTATTAGAAAAAGAACCAGACATCGTCAGCGTATTTGACGCCTCTCACACACCCGCTCACCCTTTGTACCTTTGCCCAAGCTAGTCACATATTACATATAAGCATAAAGTCAGTCGAATTAAGTAGTTAAGAAGTCGCTAAAAAAGTTATTCTCCCTCCTCGTCTCTCTCTCTCACCCGTGTCACATAACAAGAGCATAATAATATAAGTTAGTTTGGTGTTGCAAAGTGTACATACGTAAAGTATTGCGCAAGTACAATAAAGCGAAGATAGCAAGGTGTAAGTGTATAATTTCACCCCCACAAGAGCAATAAAACGAATCAGCAAACAACGCTTAAATCCTGTAACAAATCAAGACAGGTTACCACGAGGGTTGTGGTGTTCTCAGGTAACGTTGGAAATAACCCCATCGTTTTCCTTTAAAATGTATTATTACAATATTGTCCTCTTCTATTTTTCTTTCTGTTTACAAGAGTGAACAAATTGTGTAGAGAGCTGATGATCTGTAACATCTGAAATTAAACCATTTTTGAACCATTTTCTACCATTATTTTAAGCGAATATGTTTCTATGTCCAATTCTTCTTCCATAGTTGTTCCATTGTGCTAATTTGAAAAATACTGTTTTATGCTAAAACTAATTCCCTTTCATTTAAAAAGCATCCTACTAATTTAATTTAAACACAAATTCTAATTAAAAGTTAAAAAATTAGTAATTAATATAAGCGGGAGAAAGTTATACCCTAAATAATTAAAATTTTAAATTAAGTTGAAAACTTTGTCAAATAAAAATCCCAATTATTTTTAAATACAGTAATTAGCAATTTAGATCCATTGAAAGGTATGACGTTGTAACCTGTTTCTTGTCTTTTGGAAACCTATTTTTTTAGGAATAGCTTAAAAAGAGAAATTAAAAACAGAAGTTTTAGAAAGCAAATTAAGATTATGCGATGAAATAAAACTCATTTGCAAGTTAAACAACAAAGTAAAACAAGAATTCCAATTACATTACTAACGTATAATACTAAAATCCGAGATAAACATACATGGCATACGTAATTCCACCACGAACACCAAATTGCAATATCTTTAGTTATTCAGTAATTAGATCTACAAGACGCTCCGCTCCGTTCATCTCTAGTTAACTAGATGTATTACGGAAAATTACTGTTAAACCCTCACTTTGATAGCTTTTAACTGTCGATATTCAATTTGAGTTTTAATTCTATATATTTTTTTTATATATCTTTTAACTTTAACAAGTTTACTTAAAAAAAAATAAGAAAATTTATTTTTATTATTTGATAATTTTTCGACTGTTCTAACAACCATTCAAATTTCGTCATTTTGTGTCATGTGGAACAATTTCACCCAATCATGTCAACATTAGACTGATAATTGCATTCAGTGCAATTTTCAATCCTTATGACAACACGATCGAGTTTGACAACTTCATCTAAATAAATTTCAAAATGTCACGTTTCTATAAAACCATACTTGAATTTCGATCAAGAACACCACAACAAGATTATAAATATTATGCGTGGTAATAGATCTTCTATAGTAGAGAACAGCAACGAATCTAATGTTAACTTAAATTTTAATAATTGTACTTTCACTAACTGTACTTTTAATAAATAAATGTTTCGTTATGTTGAGTTATGATTTTTTTTTTTTTCGAAAAATTATCCGCCGAATATCCCTCGGACATTGATGAATGCCTCATAATTTCATGACAAATTTCTCAAGCTCGTTGCTTGGTAACAGCACTCAGCCTTCGGCTTCGTGCTGTTACCAAGGAACGAGCTTTCGATTGTCATGAAATTATCTCGTCTGTTATCAATGTCCTAGGGATATTACTACTGATAACGGGATTATAGACCAGGACGGATTTGTGAAAAAACGAATTAAATTTGGAAGTGAGAGGATGGCATTCATATTTTTGCATAAATAGTTACGTGATAGCTTCAGTTGGCTTATCCTCCCTCTTAAAGATGTCGAAACCATTGTATTTTTTTATGCTTTTTTCTTCCTTGCTTATTTAACTAGAAAACTGTGTAAGGAGTAAAAATCACCCACGTCGTTACTTTCTTCTTCTTCTGAAGCCTTAAGTAATCCAACTTTGGACATAGGCCTTCCCCAAAGCAATCCCGTGTCTTCTATTTTGTGCCACTTGCTACCAGTTGTGTCTCACCCGAGCATCTTTCCATTGCTTTTGTACTTTTAGTATTTTATCCATACTATACTTGGTCAGTGTCCACATATGTAAACCACACGGGAGTATTGGGACCGTGCAAGTTCGGAACAGCGACACCTGGTGTCGTAAATCTGCCAAATTTACTGCGCTTTCATGTTAGATCGAGGTTACCGGATAACTGTCAAGGACGTCGCCCCAAAAAAGAATAGGAAGAAAAAGTAAGATTGAGGTTATGTCGGTATGTTATTAAAAGGTAAATGTTGATGTAGCGTAAATACAAATAAATATATTATTGAATTACAGCATTACTGTTAATATGGATGCAATAATAAAAACTGGATTTGAGAAAGTAAATCACCAAATAACTTTTCAACCAAGCACGCGTCAAAGGGAAAAGCTTTAGTAGTGGCAAATGTCAAAAACGAATGGAAGAATTATGTGGAGTGGAAGAATTAAGAAAAATAAATTACCATAAATAATGCTAATGCATAAATTAGCAGGTTAAGCCCATGATATCAGCATATTGGTTTGAACAATTAATTCTTTCCCTGTAAACTTTTGGACAAGCGAATATATCTTAATGCATTTTCAGAAAAACTTGAACTTACATTTTTCTAAACTTCAAAAAAATAAAATTCAAACATTAAACTTGATTTTTGAGTTAAAATGAACTCTAAGTGAGTGTTATGAAACTAAAATTTACACTTAAAAGTGAACTTTTATTTATTATTTATTTCAAACTGACTTTAAAATCGGCCGCAAGAATAATGCATAATTTAGGTTATGTTACTTATGATTTTTTATGATATAAATCCACTTTTCTCTTTGTAGTAGCTTTGTGCTTCGAAGTTGGAAACGAATAAAACTTAAATTGACAATTTTTTGTTGTATTTTTACAATTTATAACACAGCATTTCCTAAATCCCATTTTTCTTCAGTGACGGAAGGTGTAAATAAACAAAACGAATATGAAATATGACAATTGACAACATGAATTTATGAAATCTATAATCTATGAAATGTGCAGTAAAAGATGCAAGATTTCTCCACTACTCAAGCACGATCGTTTCTCGTATCCCCTCCAAGTACTTGCACGTCGCCAATAGGGGGGATACACTGATCGTAAATTCTGGTTTTCGAATATTGTTCTATCATAGTGCTTTTTAAGATCTAACTCAGTTTTCCAAATCCCACGCTAACCTTATTCTTCTGGTAATTTCGACAGTTTGATTTTCTTTGTCAACATTTTTATTATCTGTCTCAGGTAGATGTATTTTCTTACTGTTTCTAAATTTATGTCGTTCAACGTTATTTTTCTAATGTTCGGTGTATTTGTCATTATTTTTGTTTTTTTTTTCCGAAGCTTGAAATAGTTGCGCCATCATGGTCTGTAGTTCTTCGAAACTTGTAGCGAATATTATAATGTCATCAGCGTATCTTTAATGACTTAGTTTTCTTCCATTAACATTTATTTCTTTGGTCTAACTGGTAAGCAGGTTTTGTATGTTTTCAATCAAATTGATTGTGTAAAATAATTTATTAATTAAGCTGAGTATACTTTCGACATAATAAATGTCATCATCAAAGCTATCGTCAATTAGGCAATAAATACTTCATAGAAGAAAAATTGTGGACAAACGACATATTAAAAAACAAAGATCGGGCTCTGTATGCCACAGATCTTGGGTCTAATCCTTATGCATATGTATAATTCACATCAAAAAATTTTTTATAAAACATGGTTACTACATACAGCAACGACAACAGCTGTTTTTGACTTACATTTTTGAAGTAAAAATATTTTTGTATTAATAATGAAGTAAAAAGTAAAATATATTTTTACTTCAAAAATGAAAGTCAAAAACAGCTGTTGTCGTTGCTGTATGTGGTAACCATGTTTTATAAAAAAATTTTTGATGTGAATTATACATATGTATAAGAGTTAGACCCAAGATCTGTGGCCTACAGAGCCCGATCTTTGTTTTTTAATATGTCGTTTTGTCCACAATTTTCCTTCTATGAAGTATTTATTGCCTAATTGACGATAGCTCTGATGATGACATTTAATATGTCGAAAGTATTCTTCTTTAAGTTCCATCTTCTATCGAAGGTTGGAAATCATCATGGCTATGCGGACTCTGTCGAAAGTATACTCAGCTTAATTAATAAATTATTTTACACACTACCAATTTTATTGAAACCATACAAAACCTGCTTACCAGTTAGACCTAGTTAGAAGTGTGTACAAGTCTTACAGTCTTTTTCAATTTATTCCTTTCTCTGCCCTTTAAATGTCTTTAAACACGTCTTCAGTCTAAGTGTGAATAGCTTTGGTAAGATAACATCTCTCTGGCTAACTCCTCTATTGATTATTATAGGTTTGGTTTCCGCATCTATTTGTATTTTCATTGTAGTTTGGAACTTCCAAACTTCAGTTTGGAGACAGAGCAAGAAACCCTTTTACAGCTTTGACAGAATTAATTAACAAGATTATAGTTAAAATCAGAAAGCAAATCTGAAAATAAGTCAGCAGGTTAGCCTTCGTCCCAGTGAAGATGTTTTAGAAAACCAAATTTAATCAGTTGAAAATTGACTGCCTGGAACTTCTAATCAGGAAAGTCAATCATTGTCGGAAAAATCTTTATAAGACAGCAGTACGTTTGAAGAT